TGGTGGTCTTCTAATGCTCTCCATTCAGGAGGGTGCTTGTTATATCTCATTGTGGCTTTAATCACATTTCCCTGATAAGTAAGCAGTTTATGCTCTATTTTTCAGCCTTATTGGCCATTTGCATGTCCTCTTTTATGAAGTGTTTATTCAAGTGTTTGTTGTATTGATTGTTAATTTTTTTTCTTATTTATTTGTAGGCATTCTTTACATATTCTGGATATGACTCTTGGAGATAGATATTACAAATATTTTCTCTCACTCTGATTTGCCTTTTCATTTTCTTAATAAAAGTAATTCAATAATTAAATTAATCTTTTGAGAAGTATAAGTTCTTCATTTTGGTGAAATTCAATTTTTTAATATTTTTTCTTTATGATTAGGACTTTTTGTATTTTTTTTTTTTAAACAACTAATTGCCTTTCCATCTCTTGAGTATTTTAAGACAGCTAAACCATGGAGAACCACTGCTATAGAAAGTAAGCCCCAGTTACTCTGGATGCTATTGGATTCTTGTTTTGATTAGCTGTTTGCCTAGAGTGGTGTCATAAGCCTTCCTATTTATGAAGCACTTCAGGTTTTTACAGAGATCTTTATCATTCAATCTTGTTTAATCCCATGCAGGAGATCACTAAGGTATTTGCAGAAGTGCATGGCTGATTTTGACACCAGAGGATTTATGTGGTCCACATGAGCTCTCTGGGGCCTATGGTGCCATCACTTTGGCGTGGAATTGTGTGCAAGAGTTAAGTGTTGGACTGCTTGTGTTCACATCCTGGCTCTGAATCTTGCTAGCTCTGTGGTTGTGGACAAGACACTTAACCTCTCTGAGCCTTGGTTTTCTCATCTGCTAAAGGGGAATAATGAGAATACACTTTTCTCATGATGTAGGTGTGAAGATTAGGTGAATTATTATTATTATTATTTTTGAGATGGAGTCTCAATCTGTCACCAGGCACCAGGCTGGAGTACAGTGGCGTGATTTCAGCTGACTGCAACCTCCACCTCCTGGGTTCAAGCAATTCTCCTGTCTCAGCCTCCCAAGTAGCTGGGACTGCAGGCGCAAGCCACCACTCCCAGCTAATTTTTGTATTTTTAGTAGAGATGGGGTTTCACCATGTTGGCCAGGATGGTCTCAATCTCTTGACCTCGTAATCCGCCCACCTTGGCCTCCCAAAATGCTGGGATTACAGGTGTGAGCCATCGCACCTGGCAAGTGAATTAATTTATATATAGTCCTTAGCACAGCAGCTGGCACATACTGTTGGTTTATTATTGATGTTCTTTTATTGTAGTGACTCTAATAGGCTCACAACTCTTTGTAAAGGTAAAAAGAGCTCTGATCATTATACTTCATTTCTTTCATTGTTTTGTATGTTCCTTTCCTCATTCCATATTATCCTCCTCCTTTTTTTTTTCTTTTTTTGGGATGGGGTCTTGTTCTGTTGTCAGGCTGGAGTATAGTGGCTCGATCTCTGCTCACTGCAACCTCCCAATTTCAAGCCTCCTGAGTTCAAGCAATTCTCCTGCCTCAGCCTCCTGAGTAGCTGGGACTACAGGAGCGCATCACCACACCCAGCTTTTTTTTTTTTTTTTTTTTTGTAGAGACAGGGTTTTACCATGTTGGCCAGGTATCCATCTCTTGACTTCGTGATCCGCCTGTCTCAGCCTCCCAAATCACCGCACCTGGCCTATCCTCCTACTTTTAATCTCTCTGTTCTCTGTCTCCCCGCCATGCCCATTTTTGCTATGAAGAACCACATGCATTTCAAACATGAACTAAATTGACATCCTGTAAGAGAAGGTCTCAATATTGCTATGCTATTTTATAGGGACTGACATGGAAAGTGGAGGGTCATTGAAGGTTTTGTTTGTGTTATTTTGTTTTGAGGGATGGTTGTTAGTAGGGACACGGGGAAGGAAAATATGGTGAGAAAGTTATTGTTTTACTCCAGAATAAAGAAAGCTCACCCTTTTTACCTTGGTTCTTGGAAATCCATATGCAAGACATTTGTATAATAGTGGTTCTAACTGTAATGAAGGAAAAGCAACTTGGAACCAAATGAGTGTTTTCTCGATGTCTACAAAGGAAAGTACTATGATCCAGATGTACATACATCAGGCTGAGAGAAAATTATCTGAACTTAGGGTCGTGGGATTAGAACCGAGTGTGTTAAATCCGCTTTATTCACCACCTACTATCCACCCCCCTGCCCTACTCCCCACCGCAAAAGGGAACAAGACTACATGTGGAAAAGAACTTGTATTTTAATATTTCTTCTTGAAATGAAAACAAGTCCTGTTGACTTTCCTGGTTACCAAGGCCAAGTGGCCCACCCTTCATAGCCTCTGAGTTTGTCGAGCTTCCTCTTTGTGGCTCAGGGTGGAAATCTCACACTGTGTGCCACGAAGTTGATGTAATAATACCTGTGAGCCCCTGAGACCCTGATATGTAGACAGCTCTTGTGATCTCACTGTTTGCTGGTGAGCCACTAGCAGGAAACAGACTAGAGACATGTTGGCTCCTTGACCTCGCTGCAGAGAGGAGGGTGACTTTGCTCTCTAGGGCAAGGGGAACAGGAAGGAAAAGAGTGGGGATGGAGTGGACAGCCCAGGGTGTGGGCCTCAAACTTAACTCTGAATCAAAATCACCTGGGGAGTTGGTTAAAATCCAAGTTCCCAGGGCCAGCCCAGTTCAGATTCAGTTGAGTGGGATTGGGCTGGAATCACCATGTAAAAGGAATGCCCGATTCTGAAGCAGGTGATACAGGAGCAGCACCTATAGCAACACTCGGAGACCCAGAACCAGGGAATTGAGAGTTCTACAATAGACAGTAGCTACAGAGGCTTTTCGTTCTGCAATAGACAGTACTGCAAAGCTATTAAAATGTTGTGGTTGGTTTTTAGAAAGGTGGAAGGGTGGAATCAATCTGTTGTGCCCTCAAGCCACAGGGTCAGTTCTGTGGAGCCACCACTGTCAGCTCTGTGCAGACACCCACTGAGACTGGCACACTGAATGGGCTGATGGTGGGAAGTGGGCACGTGGTTGGGTCTGAGAATGAGAATTTCTGACAAGACAAGGGAGAGTCCAGGAAGGTACTCATGGAGAGAGGAGTTATTCCATCTTCTGAGTCACCTTTGTATGATGGTGCCAGTCCCAGTGTGATCTTCATGGGAATGACTACCCTCTTGGGATCAGTGTCCCACCATCATCAACACACCCACCATGTACCTGCCCACCCCTCGTCCCACCCACATACACCCACACTCATCTTTCTGTCTCTTGCTCCTTTTCTTTCTTCTCTTGCTCGTTTGCATTCTTTCCACCTCTCTCCCCCACACAAACAGGTTCATACCCTCACACATTCACACTCCCATCCCGATGCCCCTTGTAACGCCAACCCATCTGTATTTATGTGCCCAGAGCTCTAAATTTTTTTTTTTTTTTTGAGATGGAGTCTCATTCTGTCACCAGGCTGGAGTGCAGTGGTGTTGTTTTAGCTCATTGCAACCTCCACCTGTGATTTCAAGCGATTCTCCTGCCTCAGCCTCCCGAGTAGCTGGGACCACAGGTGTGGGCCACCATGCCCAGCTAATTTTTTGTAGTTTTACTAGAGACGAGGTTTCACCATATTGGCTGGGATGGTCTCCATCTCTTGACCTTGTGATCCTCCTGCCTCAGCCTCCCAAAGTGCTGGAATTACAGGTATGAGCCACCGTGCTCAGCTAAAATTTTTTTTAAGGGGATGTTGAGGGGTGATTAATGAAAAGAATCAAATGTGATTTTTAAAATTATGTTAAACACAAATAGGGTTAGCATATTTGTTGGATATTATATAGATATTATATAGATATAAGCCAGAAGCAGAGATGATGGGCAGGTGAGAATTAACAGGCTTGGGTGTTTATGGGGCCCAGGCCTGTGCTGCTCAGGGTGTTGGTCAGACTGTGTGGTTTTAATACCTGTTGTTGTATGATCATTAGCAGCGTTTGTGCACTCAGACAGGAATAGGACTTTAGTTGTTGCTCAGTGGACCTCTTCCTTTTTAGGCTGTCTCAAATTTTAAGGAGGATGGTTTTAAATAGCAATTCTTAACTTTTTCGGGGTTGCAGTTCTTTTTGAGAATCTGATAGACAATTTGAATTGTCTCTACAGAAAAATACACATACATTTGAGGGAGAGAAGGAGGTGGTTTAGAGACACTCTAGGATCCATCCTCACCTTAAGTGAAGAACGCCTGCTTTAATGGGCATTAAAGGCTTTTAGCCACTTCTCCCATGGTCATTTTTATGGCGCAGTCTCTTTTCTTGTGGAGTGCCATTTGTAATGGGAACTGAACAAAAACCGTTTGACATTGTGTGCATGTCTTTGGAGGGTTTGTGCTCAGTTTTAGCGAGCAAGCAGATTTCAGTGAGTGAAATGATCTAATGCATATAAAGCACTTAGCACCTGACATGATTAAGTACTCATTTTTTAAAAATACTGTGCACATTTAATCATAACTACCAAGATGATGACCACCATAAAACTTCACCATGTCTGAAGCGGTTTAGAAGTGTTGGACTAGATATTGGGAGACAAGGATGCCTCCAGCTTGGATATTTTCCCCTCTTTTTTGAGTCCAGTAATTCCATTCGCTTCCACAAATATTTATTGCATTTCTACTGCAAGTAAAATATTGTTAAGCATTTTGAGGACTAGAAATGAATGAGATTTCAAGGAACAGCGTCTAAAGGAATCACTTCTATAATTCTCTTACCTGTAAAATGGGGTCATATCTTCCATGTTTCTGCCTTTCTGAGGTAGATGGACTGACTGAGAGGAATTTGGTCCTTCCTTGCTGCGACTAGAAGGTGGCTTAGAAAAGCCAGTGTTGTGCCCCTCTTGGTGTTGTTAACCCTAGCAACCACTGACTTAGTTGAGTGGATGTTTAAGATTCACCTTCACCATTGTCTCTACATGTAGCATTGATTTCATATCCATGTCTCTCCCTTCTCTGCAGGCCAGGGGTTATCACCATGCAAGCATTGTCGGAAGAGGACCGGAGGCTCTGGATGGAAGCCATGGATGGCCGGGAACCTGTAAGTAACAATTCAGGGAAGTAGAGCAAGAATAAAGGCGCTGAGTTGTTTGTTGCTTCCCTAGTGCCGTGATTTTTGCTGTTGTTCTAAAGTCTTGGGTTCTTGAAACCAATGTACCAGAGGTGGTTTTTTATTCCTAGGTTTATGTTTGTGGATATTGATACTGCTTCTGTAAAGACATAGTTCTTGCGCTTTGGCCTCTCAATCCTAAGGCATGGGTTCTGCATAGCATTACACCAGAACTCCTTCTTTGCAGAAGCAGGTGTAATGTGCCCAGGTCTCTTGAAGGAGGCAGAGTCTGGTCTGGCCTACTGAAATTACAGGTTATTCAACATCTTTTATCATTGACTATGGATCAGCTTCCTGTAGTAACTCACCTCATCTTATAAGCAATGGGAGATTATTAGGGTGGATGGAGGGAGGTGAGCCTGGTAATATGATCCATGCTCCCATTTCAGAGATGCTGGCCTCAGCTGGGTGGTGTAATCTTGTAGTTGTTCTGTATTTTGTGACATGTAAAATCTATAAGAGCCCTGGAATCATTGTAGTCACCTTATTTTAGTTCCAAGGATCTCAACTCCTTTAGCTTCCTAAAGAGAGAGATAAATATAGGCAAATGATGTCTATGTAATTGACAGTAATACTAGGCTTAATTTTGTTTCCCATTGCTGAAAGCCTCTAGGGGACATTACTAGAGATATATGCCCAGTAGACAATTAGCAGCTCCAGCTTTAATCACCATCTCCCCAATTAGTTAAATCTGGCCCCCTGGGAGTTTTGGATTTCTCTAGTTAGCTCATTCTCTAGTTGGTGTTAGTGTGGTTGCCTTATTTCAGCAAATCGCAAGGTTACAGAAATCCTAAGAGTACGATCTAACCGTGTGCTACCGACAAAAGAGAAAAAGAATCTACAGTGCCAGAGGGCCAGTAATTGATACAAAGGTACTGTCCAAAGGGAGGAAATGTGTGCAAGGAAGAAGTAGGCCATGGGCTCCACTGACTCTAGAACTCCATGCATCAAGCTGGATAATGTCAGCTGATTTGTGTGTCTCTTTCTCATTCTACCCTGGTGAGGTGATCTGGTAGCATAGATTAATGTACCTTTTTACTCAAGTCATATTTTATACAAACATGGAACTCAATTCAATCAACTAAGCATAAAGAAATAACTAGTATTGTATGACATTTAATATAGAGCAAGGTCTCTTAAAGATTTAAATGATGATTAAGGCACAGTTTGCTAAACTATAATTAAGCGTTGTTTAATCTTAATTCTTATTGTGGGCTAAAATATAAGATAGCTCTGATTGTCTCTGAATATGTTGTTACCCCTAGAAACCCTCAAAACCAGATACACATTTCTGCCTTTAGAGCTTTATGGGCACAATAGCTGCTTGATGTCAAAGGCCTTTGAAAGAAACTTCCCAAGTAGGTCTTTCTTTTTGCTGCATTATCTACCATTTGTTGAGCATGTTTTTGCATATTAGGCACAGGATTAAGCACATCACATCTCTTAACCCGTTTATTTCCCTTTAGTACTTAATGAGATAAGTGCTGTGATTCCATTTTATAGATGAGGAAACTGAGGCTTAGAGAGGTTAAATAACTTGCCCCAAGTTGCACAGATAGTAAATGGCTGTATTAGTAGGATACAGGCTAGGTTGCTGTAACAGAGAGACACCAAAGTACAGTGGCTTATGGAAGATAGGAAAATGTATTTCTCTCTTAGAGCTGAGAAGGAAGCAGTGTATGCCTAGTAGGGTCATTCTGCCATCCTCAGCCCATGGCTTCCTACATTGCTCCAGTGATTGCCATTTTCCAGCCAGAAAAATGAGGACAAAAGTATTTTGAAGGATTCAGAAGATGCATTCATCACTTCCATTGCCTCAAACATAGTACAGCCACATCTATCTCCAAAGCAGACTGGGAAATCTAGGTTGTACCGAGGCAGTCATGGGCCCAGCCAGGACCCCAGGCATGTTATTACTTCAGAGAAGAAGAGGAGAAAGGATACTGTGAGTAGTTGGCAGTCCCCATCCTAGTGGCAAAGCTAGAATTTGACCCATGTCTAATCCTAGACATATTCGATTTTCATCTTTAATGGAGATAAAATTTCAAATTGCCTTGTAAGAATTCTCAGTTCATTTTTACAATACTTTCACTCACTGCCTTGAATGATTCTTCAACTTATAGGGGAGGAAATGCCCAGGAATAAAAATCCTGTTATGGCATTCTATTCTTGGTATGCGTAAAAAAAAGCCAAAGTATAACAACAACAAAAAAACCCACCAAAACCTACTAACATCTTTCCCCCTGCCCCCAAAAAGTCAGAGTTCTAAAACTGCCTTGCCAATTAATTCCATTTTAAGCCTCCCCCTCCTCTTTCCCTACCACTTAGATATTTGCTCTCTGTCTGTGTTTAATTGGTCTTCTTACTAACCACTTCAGTTTTCCTGTAGATTAACATCTGGCCTATGCAGATGGAAAGTGTGCTGTTGAAAGAAACATCTTACTCCAGAATGTACAAATTAAAACAAGTTTAAACACAAAATAATTTTGTTTCTAAACACAATATAAAATTATTTCCTCATAGGAACATATAGCTTGCACTGAAAACCACACTTCCGTATGCTTTTTAGTTTCCTAAAGAGAGAGATAAATATAGACAAATGATGTCTATGTAATTGACAGTAATACTAGGCTTAATTTTGTCTCTCATTGCTGAAAGCCTCTAGGGGACATTACTAGAGATATATGCCCAGTAGACAATTAGCAGCTCCAGATTTAATCACCATCTCCCTAATTAGTTAAATCTGGCCCCCTGGGAGTTTTGGATTTCTCTAGCTAGCTCTTTGTCTAGTTGGTGTTAGTGTGGTTGCCTTATTTCAGGGAGATGTTAATAGTGGCAACTATCTTATGTTTTATACTTCTATGTCAGTTGTTCTATGATGGATTATTTGGTGTTGGTGGTTTTTTGTTTTTTGGGGATTGTTTCGTTTCTATTTTTTTTGTTCTCTCATTGTTCACTAATACCTTAGGATGGTTGGTTGAAAAACAAAGAAAAGCGAAATGAGTCCCAAATCAGTTGATTTTGCAACATTTCATTTTTAAATATTAAATTTAGTTTTAGTGTTAAATCATAGTTTTTAATATACAATCATACATTAGTCTAAAGAAATGTTGAATGTCTTTATGGTGTCGGTGGACATATAATGGAGGAAAAAATTAGAATTTTCTTTCTACAGTAAGCATTATGATTTTATCTATGTAGTAAATTCGAATTATTTTAATTCAAATGTAGGTAACCCGATTCAAACTTGGGGAAAAGCTGGATTTATTGGGTTACATGACTGAAAAATACTGGAGTCGAATAGTCTGTGACCCATCTGAATCTGGGATCTTACATAATATTTGGAGTTGGTTTCTTCTTTTGAATTGGCTTCATTTTCCAATGTGTTCTTTTCATAGAGTGGTGAGATACTTCCTTACTGCTTGTTCCAATCTTACATCATATTACTGAGAACAGCAGTCAGTAACCTTTTTCTGTAATGGGCCAGATAGTAAGTATTTTAGGCTTTGTGGGCCATGTGGTTGCTGTTGCAGCTACTAACTTTGCTGCTGAAAAGCTGTCATGGACAACATATAAATGAATAGGTACAGCCGTGTATCAGTAAAACTTTGTTTATAAAGAGATGGCTGGCCAGATTTGGGTCATGAGCCATACATAGTTTGTTGATCCCTGATCTATAAGTCTAGTGGAAAGAGAACTTTTATGTAATCATTCGAAAAAAGTTCCTTATTTGGATTTTACTGGACTAACTACTTGGTCCAGAGGCCCGGATGGATGAACTGACCAGAACTTACTCACGTGCCCATTGCACTGGAGCTGTATAAATGGTGAGGGAAGTTTGTCTTTTTTTTTTTGAGATGGAGTTTCGCTCTTGTTACCCAGGCTGGAGTGCAATGGCATGATCTTGGCTCACCGCAACCTCCGCCTCCTGGGTTCAGGCAATTCTCCTGCCTCAGCCTCCCAAGTAGCTGGGATTACAGGCGCGCACCACCATGCCCAGCTAATTTTTTGTATTTTGAGTAGAGATGGGGTTTCACCATGTTGACCAGGATGGTCTTTGGGAAGGTTGTCTTTATCTGAGAGAAAAAGCATTGTTGTATGAGGGAAGGAGGTAGATACTAGTCAAGAAAAGCAACACAGTTTCTACTTATTCTCAGATGTATGTTTCTTTAAACTTTATGTTCCAAAAGCTTCCTTTTTGATACTTGACTAAAGGTGAAAACCCCAAGTTTACCACTAACATCATACTTAGAGTAAAAGACTGAGTGCTTTCCCTTTAAGACTGGGAACAAGATGAGGGTGTTCACTCTCACCACTCTTACTCAACAGAGGACTGGATGTCTTGGCCAGTGCAGTAGGACAAGAAAGTAATGTAACAGGCATACAGATTAGAAAGAAAGGGATAAAACTGCCCCCACTTTCAGATAACACAATTGTCTATGTAGAAAATCCCAAGGAATACACACACACACATACAAACACACACACACACACCATACACACACACACAAAACATACACACAAACACACACACACGTACACAAAACCCTTCTATAATTAGTGGGTGAGTTCAGCAACATCACAGGATACAAGATAAACACATATACAAAATCAATCATATTTCTATAGATTAGCCATAATAATATAGTGATCAAAGTTAAAAGCATAACACCATTGTCAGTCACTCTCCCCAAAAATGAAGTGACTAGATATAAATCTAATTGAACATGTAGAAGACCTCTGTTGAAAATTATAAACTGCTGATGAAAGAAACTAAAGAAGATCTTAATAAATGGAGAAACATTAATGGACTGGAAGAATCAGCATAGGAAAGATGTCAGTCCTAGTCAAATTGATTGTAGGTTTAATGCGATTCCTATCAGAATCACAGCAAGATTTCTTATAGATACAGACAAGCTTGTTCTAAAATT